CCGGTTTTCCGTGCTGTCCTGCAGGCCACCCAGCTGGGCATCATCTCCTAGGCCTGCACAGGCCTATCTTGGGAGCAGGTAAGGGAGGCGGGGGTGGGGAAGGGTCGCTGAGAAGCCCACCCCCACACCCCCCAGGCTCAGGGAGACCCAAGAGGGCAGAATCGCACTGTGGGAGCGGCTGCGGCCCAGAGCCCAGGCAAAGTTCACAGGCCAGGCATCCAGGCCGCCCTTGCCTGTGCCAGAGGGCGGTTGGAGCCTCCTCATGCACCCAAGAGACAGCTCCCTGGGGGCTTTTTGCAAGGGTTCGCACCCCATGCATGACGGGCGCACCTCACCACCTTCATTGCCCCCAAACACACGGGGCTGCCCTCCCTCCACACCATGCACTGTGGCCGCTGGGCCTGGCTAGGGGTGGGGGGGAGCCTTGCAGGGGGGCCAGAGAGTGTCCAGTCTCCCAGGACGTCAAGTTTTCCTGCTTGAGGTTGTCAAATGTAAGCAAAGAGCTTAGGCAGGGCTTACTTTTCAAAACATGCTCTTCATTAATACTCCTGAATGAATTCAACGGGATCTGTGGAAGTAGGTGTAGTTTAGTGTAGGGGCAAAATCCAGGGGCCTACGGAGAGTCGGCATACCCAGGGCTCCGGAAAGAGCCAGGGTGGGTTCTGGTTCTTTCTGGACCAGGGATCTGTGCAGGCACCTGTGGGAAACCACACTTAGATGTTATTTTTTTCCTGCTCGGATATCAGACTGTTTTTCTCAGTGAGATGAGATAAAAACGGGACATCTGTTAAGGTCATACTTTGCTCACTGAGTTTCATTTCTCCATAGTTTGAATTGAGCGAAAAGCTCTATTTTTTCCCCTTCTATATACAATATGGTTCATAAGGAAGGTTTTTTCCTGTTTTTCAACGAGCTGTTTCGGCAACACCCAAAAGGACCCACACCGCGCTCGTCACCGTAAGCCCACTTCCTCTTTAATTAACCAATTTAATCAACCGATTTAATGTGTTGGCATCTCCAGTGAGGAAAGCGTCCTTTGGTCTCTCTCCTTGCTAATAATTCAGTTTGACGAACAGCCCCTTTCTCAAAATCGTTTTGGGTTTTTGTTTTTTTTTACCTCCCTTTTGGGCCACATTTCATTTGTTTAGAAATGTCATTGAGTTCTTTAATGACATGTGGCATGCTTTTAATATTCGGGAGCCTGTTCATGGAATGGTGAAGTGCTTTTATCAATGAAGTCTCTTTGCATTGTTTAAAACGTCTTTATTGTGCTTTGTCCTAATGTGTGCTTGTGGAAAACGGTACAGTCTGCCTCCTTGCGCTGGGGATAATTTATACGCTGGGGGATTCTAAGTGGTGGTGAACGCATTCAAAGTTTCAGACCTTCCTAATTGGGCTGATGGTATTCCTGTCCCCAGGCCGGGTGGCGTCTGCCCGAGTCCCATTTCCAGGGATCGTGAATGGTACAAGGTCCTTGTGTGCTGACCAAAAGCAGTGGGCAATGCAGACAGTGATCCAGACATAAATCACGGTGAATGGGCTTTTCCCCTCTTGGGCTTCCTGTCGGTATAAAGGTTCTGCCTGTACACTAATCGTCACCATGAGGTGCACAAACTGGGCACACCTGTTTGCAAGGAGCGCACTGCCGTGCGAGGGACCCCAGCTTTGTCTGGGAGAGGATGTGTCTCTGTGCGCCCCAGACTCTGCCGTACCCGGCACGCTCTCCCTGTCTGAATGTCGGTGAGCATTCTCTGCTGATCCTGTTCCAGGGGGCCGTTCTCCTCATCAACCTGCCCCTATGCTATTCACAAACCAGCGTCAGGGCGGGGTTAGGGTCCTGGTTGGAGTTAGGTCATGGCGTGCACGCCCCCTCCAGCCTCTGCCCCCTCCGTGTGCCACCAGGAAGCAGCCTGACTGTCTGAGGCTGCCAACCGGACACACCTGTCCCCCCGAACAACACCTCACTGCCTCCCCTGCCTCCTGGGTCAGGGGAGACGTCCTTCTCTGGGTCACGGCACCCTCTACGCTGAGCCCTGCTATTCCTAAGACGCTTCCGCACCCCACAGGGAGGGTTTTTACTGGAAGAACAAGCAACTGTGCCAGAAAAACAGCCTGCTTTTGCAGGATTCAGCCATTTGCACGTGGAGGAAGTCATATCGTGTCCCCTGAGTGATTCTCTGACTCTCATATATATAATGCTATATATACATAAATGTATACATTCATAGATGTGTCTTTGGATACATACCTATATATTATATCACATATATAGTTTTATACGTGGAGAACAAACGCAAAATCGCAACAGAACAAAATCTATTTTCAAGACCTCAGAACTGATTTGAGTGTACCGTAACAGCTCAGCGGCCCCAAGGTCTCTGAGTAACTGCCATTTGGGTGGAGTTTTAAGACTCGCACAGAGCTGGAATGTTGCTCCGTTTAGCTTCTCTTGGACTCGTATGTCTCTGGGCTCCCTGACGTACGTTTTTCTGTGCCTGCCGCTTTCCACTTGGATGTGTAAAATGAAAATCCGCCCTCGCGTGGTCGGTGAGCCAAGCGATGTCTTTTTAAATGACTTGTGTGAATTCCTACCACTCATTCCTAATGAAGTATCTCCGGAGAATACATCCAGCGTGACTTATTTGGAGAGGCAGCCCCACGGGGAGCTCTGTTCAGACCCTCGTGAGCACAGCCAAGCCTCCCCTTGAGCGCTGGCGCTCCTCACCTGCGGCTGTGTAGGAAGAGGCCCCAGAACTCAGGTGATGAAATGCCAGGTATTTACGACCCGGTCTCTGTGGGTCGGGAGTCTGGGCCCAGCTCAGCCGGTGGTACTCCTGCTGCCCTCAACGTGCCAACCGGGGCGGTGGTCATCCGACAGTTCGACCAGGGTGGGAAGAGTTCGCAAGCGCACTCAGGGGACTGCAGGTGGGATTCAGCCCCTTGCAGGCTCGTGGCCTGAGAGCCTCCGTCCCCGACAGCTGTTGGCTGGAGGCATCACGCTTCATTGCCACGGGGTCCTTGGATGTGCCGACTCACGTCATCCAAAGCCAGCGAGAGGCAATGTCCGCTGGCAAGACAGACATCAGCGTCTAGTGTGTGGCCTCATCCCAGAAATGACATGCCCGCACTTCTTTGCAGCCTCCTCCTTAGAACCCAGTCTCCAGGTCCGGCCAAGCTCAAGGGCAAGGCATCCTACCAGCTGTGGTTACAAGAGGGGTGTCCCTGGGCCCCTTTCAGTCAGCCTGGTGCGTCTTTGTTTAAGACTCTGAGACTGTATCCCCTCTGCATGAAATTGTAACAGTGTTGCTGGTGATGACTACAGCTGACCCCTGCTGGCCCCTAACGTGCTTCCCTTATCCCGTCTAGCACCAAATCTATAATTTGGTCCTCAGCATAATACTCGTCTGGCGTTATAACGGCTGGCCCCGAGTTACAGGAGAAAATGCTGACGAGAAAGGCGTTTGTGGAATTGAAACGGATTTTGTCGAATTGTCAGTGAATGGCTTTTCGTTGCAAAGGTAGAGCTAGACCATGATACTCCTACCAAGTTGCCTTTGTGTGGTGCTCCGTCATCTTGGAAACCTTTGATTTCGTTCGTTTTTGTTTCGTTTGGCAAGCAGACAGGCTGATGTTCTGCTCCGCCCCCTGCCCGCCCAGCTTTGTTGCGGAATAATGAATAAATACAGTGATAAGCGTATTATTTAAAGAGCAAACATGATGTGTGATATACAGACATGTTTACACCAACCCACACATTTGTCCTCTCACAGAGCGATCACTTCTGTGGATGAGGAGCACAACTAAGGTCCACTGTTCACACGAGTTTCAAGTACGTAACGTGGTATCGTTCACGCTAATCACAGCACGGGGCACGAGCCCCCCGAATTCACTCGTCTCAGACCTCCCAGTTTGTACCCTTTAACCGCCCTCTCCTCAGTGCCCCCCCTCCCCTGGTCCCACATACCCAGAGTTCTAGTCGCTGCTTCTGTGATTTCAACTTTTGGTTGTTTTCTTTTTTTGTTTTGTTTTTTAACATTCTACCAATGAGGGAGACATAGGGGGGTTTGTCTTTTTATGTCTGGCCCATTTTCCCTGGGACAGCATTCTCCAGGTCCATCCATGCTTTCTCAGATGGTAGGGTTTCCCTTTTCACAGCTGTGTAGTATTCCACTGCCTGCAGCTGTCAGGGTTGCCTTTTTCATGGCTGCGTAGTATTCCACCGTGTCTACAGCACATCTTTCTGCATCCATCCGCCCACAGAAGCTTGGTTGGCTATTGTAAGCAACACTGATGGGAATATGGGCTGGGGCGTCTGGTCACAATCCTGTCACTGTGGAAACCGATTCTCCACCATCCCAGCTGATGGCTCGGGGGCAGAGACACAGCCTCTCAAAGAAGGTGGGCGATGGAAGGTGATCCGCTGCTGAGCCTGTGTCCTCTCGGCAGCCACACCAGTCGGATGGGGTCCCGTCTGCGACTCCTGGGTGCGGCCCCTTAGCCAGAAGCCAGGCGCCCCAGGCTCTGTACCCCATGCTCCTCGCCTTTGGAGGGATTTGTTCTCGTGTCCATGTTTCCCTTGAAAAAGCTACTAGGCCAATTCTGCCAGCCAATTTTACAAAGAAAGTCGCCCTGAAAGTGTGACCTTCCTGAGAGGGGTGTGTTTCCAGGGCCCTGGTGGGCAAGGCTTAGCGGATGGCGGAGCCCACCTTCTGTAAAGAGACAGCGGGTGTGGCCGAGTTGATTCGTCCAAGCAGGCGGCCTGTTTCGGTCCAGGGTGCAGGTGGGGCGGCATCGCCCCCCAGCGGACGGAAAGGTTTGCTTGGGGAACAAACCCAGCAGAGAGAGGAAGGCATGCCCTGCCCAGTGGTGTGTTGGAGTGCGCGCCTCTGGAGAGGGGCTGCCTCGTCAGAAACACGTGTGGGGAGGGAGGAAGGCTCCAGAGAAGGGGCCGAACGGCCCACCACACACGCACCCTTCACCTCTGCCTTTGGGCTTCGCAGGAACATGAAGATTCTGCTGCTGCTGCTGCTCCTGCTGCTGTTCCTGAGTCAGGCTGAGAGCCAGGCGGCCCCGAAGCCCAACTTTGTCCTCATCATGGCAGACGACCTGGGCATCGGGGACCCCGGATGCTATGGAAACAAGACCCTCAGGTAGGGCCACGGCTTAAGCCCGTGGCTCCGGGCGTTAGGCGGGCAGGTGTGGCCGCACGTGAACGCACGTTGTCCGTGGGAAACCTTTGGCGAGAGCACTAGGAAGACACCTCGGGAACTGCTTCTTCCCCGCTGCTCCCCAGATGCTTTTCCCACCTCAGGCTCATTTTTCCTTCCCTGTGGTTCACTCCACGTACCTCGTCTCTTTGTCTTGGCCTCCAGCTTGGTTTCGGGGGGTGTCCTGGGGGCCCCGTCCCATTACGCCCTGTCCGCTCTGACCCACATCCTGGGCCACAGGGACACACAACCCCAGGACCCTCTTCACCCCGAGGCAGGTGCTGCCGGAGCAGAGGCTGCCAAGACTGGTCAGGGGCCTCCTCTTGGCCGTGGCTGGAAAGCAGGAGCAGAGCCATGTTCAGGCTTTCTCGTTTGGGGGCACTGAAGTACCTGGGGAGCAGGGGTGGGGGCGGCGTAAGGCTTTGAGCTGTCTCTCGGCCCCTGCTCAGGCGAGCTCATTTCCACACCGGCTCCTCTGCTCTGACCCAGGGCTGCGGGAGCGGCCGAGCTCAGAGCCCTTCGCGGGCACACGGGGCCCCAGCAAGTCAGACCCGGGCCACGGAGGCCTCCGCGTGGGTTTGCCCCTGCTCCTTTGGGGTCTGGGTTCTGCACCCCCCTCCTGCTCCCCCACACTCTCTCCACCCCATGCAACCCTCACCATCCCTGGATCCCCGAGAGGGGACTCGTTACGAAAAGCCACCGAGAAAGCAGCTCTGTCAACGTCATTGTGAACACGGCGGCCCCTCTGTCCTAGGACCCCCAACATCGACCGACTGGCCAAAGAGGGCGTGAAGCTGACGCAGCACCTGGCGGCGTCGCCCCTGTGCACCCCGAGCAGGGCGGCCTTCATGACCGGCCGGTACCCCATCCGCTCAGGTACCCGCTGCGCCTCCCCTGGGCCTCGCCCCTCCGCAGGCGGCCTCCCAGCTCCGCTCTCCCCGGAGCCCAGGCCTGACGCTGGCTTTCTCCTGCTTCAGGGATGGCGTCTCAGTACCGCACTGGCGTGTTCCTCTTCTTGGCCTCTTCCGGGGGACTCCCCGAGAGCGAGGTGACGTTCGCCAGGCTTCTGAAGAACCAAGGCTACGAGACAGCGCTGATAGGTGTGCACGGCTGTGGACCGGAGGTGGATCCTGGGCGGGCTCAGTGGGGGGCAGGCGTGGCGGGGGGGGGTAGGCAGCACTCAGGGTCCGCGTGGCTGACGCACTAGGCACAACTTGAAATGGGAACGAAATGACTTGGGTTCTAAATCAGAGCACAGTGCTCCTCCCACCTGGGCTATTTCCATGTATAGATACGTGTTATTGTGTGTGGGGGTTCATGCATGTACGTTTGTGGATGTGTGAATGATAGATGGGTCCATGGAAGATGGATGGATGGGTGGGTGGGTGGATGGGTGGGTGGATGGGAAGATGGATACTGGATGGATGGAGAGATGGACAGATAGCTAGGTCCATGGACCAATGGATGGAAGGAAGGATGGAGAAACAGGAAGAAGGGTGCATGTACAGTTGACAGTGTAGATGGATACTGGATGGATGGAGAGATGGACAGATAGCTAGGTCCATGGACCAATGGATGGAAGGAAGGATGGAGAAGCAGGAAGAAGGGTGCATGTACAGTTGACGGTGTAGATGGATACTGGGTGGATGAAGAGATGGTTAGATGGGTACGTAGGAATAGTGGGTGGATAGGTGCATATATTGTAGACCACAGTTGAGATGTAGGTATAGATGGATGGATGGATGGATGGATGAATAGGTGCTAGGTAATGATAGGCAGCCAGAAAGATGGATAGACAGATGAGTGTGTGGGTAGACGGAGAAATAGATGACATGAGTGATAGGGAGAGACAGGGATATATAGATCCATAGACGAGGTGGATGGTGGATGCATGAATGGATGGATGGATGGATGGATGCACAGACAGGTGGATGGAAAGATAGATAAGTAGCAGACACAGACAGGAGTAGACAGATCCACAGATGACAGGGACAGTAGGTAGGGGCATGATGAAGACAGACAGATGGAACCGATGATGGATGATGGATATAATTATAGCCACACAGAGAGCATGCAGAACCACAAAGGCACGCCATGCTGTGGAGGAAGGTCTTCATTTTACTTCTTTACACTGAAACGTGGCCGTGCAGCCGTTTGTCTCCGTGGAGATTGCCGCGTGCATTTTGTGCCGTCGGTGGGAATGGCGGGCTCCCCCTTTAGTGGGTGGCCTTGATTCCCCGGGGAGGAGCCCGCAAACTCTGACAGGGGTGCAATGACCATTCTCGTGCCCCACCCATGTTGTCATAAAACCGTCATCTTTTTTTTTTCTCCCTTAGCTGAGGCACTCACTCCTTTAGTGGTATAATTAACATTTCATCAGACATGTTCATAGGTATTTAAAATAATTGCTGAGTTACAAGTATGATTTCCTCCTGCCTCGGGGGCAGATTTTTGAAGAAGGATTCATTTCCCGTTCGAACATTCAGGTAACACAATCCAGTCGCTTCCAAGGCTTTCATTTTAACAAACTGTGTTTTTTTTTTTAAATAAAAAAACCTATTTTGGAAGAACATGTGTTTCTTCTGTATAGTTACACAGGTCTGGACGAAGTTTGGGGTGCTTGGTAGGGTACGTGCGTGTCTCCCACGAGGTGGACAGTGATTTGCACGTTTCGCCTAAAATGTCCCAAGGCGTGCTTGTGCATGGCATCGATAGGTAACAGAATTGCATGCTTATGATTTTCTAATAACAGATTTGTAGGTGATTAAGAAGGGGCGTCTTTTCTGCCGGAGCCTTTATGCTAGATGTTGTCTCGATTTCTTTTAGGATTGTTTCCCGGTCTCAATTTTACTTGTTGTTTTCCGGTAGAGCAACCGGTTCTACCTTTGCAGAAATGGAATCAGGACACTGAGGGGTTGCAGAGAATAGGATGTCAGCTGATACACCAGGGGTGTGGGTGGGGGGGAGGCCCCTCCCCTCCAGCCTGTGGAAAGGGGAAGTTCAAGTCAGGGCGTCTTTGGGGCCTGAGCGAGGGGCCCCCCTGTCTCCGCAGGGAAGTGGCACCTGGGGACCCACTGCCGCAACAACAGCGACTTCTGCCACCACCCGTCCAGCCACGGCTTCGACTACTTCCACGGCATCCCCGTCACCAACCTGCGGGACTGCAAGCCGGGCCAGGGCAGCGTGTTCACGTCGGCCATCCGGCTGCTGGTCTTCGTGCCCCTGCAGGTGATCGCCATCGCCCTGCTCACGCTGGCGGCGCTGCGCCGGCTGGGGCTGCTGCACGTGCCGGGCCCGGTGTTTGTCTGCCTGCTCTGCCTGGCCGCCGGCATCCTGGGCGCCCTGCTGGGCTTCCTGCACTACTTCCGGCCCCTCAACTGCTTGCTGCTGCAGAACCGCCACATCTCCCAGCAGCCCCTGTCCTACGACAACCTGACTCAGAGGCTGACCGAGGACGCCGCTGCGTTCATCCGAAGGTGGGTAGCACAGCGCCGCCGGATGGGGCGTTTCCGGGGGCCCGAGGTGATGAGCAAAGTCATGCAAACTTTTCGTTTTCCATCTAAACCGTGTTGTGGAAGTGCGTTGTCCTCACAGGGCGCTGCGTGAGTTGCTAGGGTGACGTGTGAGGACCTGAAGGGCGGGCACAGGAGGCAGCGAGGCTTCCTGGGTGTGTGGTGCGCCCCCACAAGGTGGCGTGCGTGCCCTGGGGGTCCAGTGCGTGTGCCCCAGCGGAGGAGGGAAATGCCCACCAGGATCCCGAGTTTCCCCCTTTGGGATCAAAGGTACCGCGGGGAGATGCTCACACGGAAAGCTACATGCTGAACTCACGCCATGCTGTAAACTGTACTGCAGCCCAACAGACAGGTGGTCCTCAACCCACTTGAATTAGTGAGAAATCCCTGCTGTTAGTAACCTGGGGAGGGCTGGAAGTTTCTTAGGGACGCGCCCGGCTGCACTCGTGCAGGGCACTCCCACCACAGTGATGGAGACGTAGCACCGCGGGCTGTTCTGAAAGCGGAACAGTGGCTGCCTGTGGGGCGCACCTCGTCTGGGCACTGTGGCTTCTTGGATGCATCCGCAACAGCCGCATCCACCTGCACGGCAAAGGGGGCACCGACCCTGCACCCCAAAAGGCACGCGCACACTGTTCCCGTTCAGCAGGAAGGGAACTCAGGATGCTTCCCCGATGAAGCTAGGCACTCAGCTTATTGCGTGAAATTGAAATGCCACCAACAAGTGTGTTTCTCAGGGGCCGGGCAGGCTTGAAGGGCAAGAGGCGGGGCTCACTGGTCCCCTTCCACCAACTGGGACGCGAAGCCCCAGGCCCCCCACACTGACTGGGCCTGGACAGGGACTGCCAACTCTTGGCCATCGTCTGGGTGTCGTCACCCACTCCCGCCAAACAGATTTAGGTGACCTCTGGATTAATCAATGCTTCCGCCATGCCACGGAACACGCTACATCAGAGATTCAGGCTGGTTCATTAAAGGTTCCGTGCAGCTTCCAAAATGTCAGCGACCACCATGGCGTGTTCATTTGGGGAGATCCGTCCTGTCATAAGAGGTAGTCGTGTGGTAGACCACAGAGTGGAAGTGACATTGGAAAGGTGTGAATACAAGTGACAACTCAAGATACTGTCTTGGCCAGGTGGGAGGGTGTGTGCGTTCCGAACAGAACAGCCCTTGGGAGGTGTTTGGATGGGCAGGGGAGGGTCGAACCCAGGCAGAAAGCTGGCCATGCTGCACCGAGTTGCGTCGTGATTGGAGGATGTCCCCACAAAGTGTCACCTGGCACTTTGCAGCCTGCTGCTCGTAGAGCTTGACAGTGAGTCTCCTCACAGAGGCCGTAGGTTGCCTCCCCTCCCCTGAATACAAAAGGTCCCACCTCAGGCACCATCGTCTGGCTCGGGGGCAGGCGTGCTGAGGTCGCTCTCGGGTCTCTCCCCCCAGGAATGCCGGGACGCCCTTCCTGCTCGTCTTCTCCTGCCTGCAGGTGCACACAGCCCTCTTTGCCTCCAAGGACTTTGCCGGGAAAAGCCAGCACGGTGCTTACGGGGACGCGGCTGAGGAAATGGACTGGAGCGTTGGTATGTGTGTCTTTGTCTTCACTGCGTCTCTCCTTCCTTCCAGCTGCACCGCCCGGCGTGGGGTGTCCTCCTAATCCCGGATGCCTTTTTAGACGTTGCGAGAGGTTCTGTTCCGCAGCAGAGGGGACCTCCAAAGACAAGAGAGTGGCGACCCAGGGATAGCTATGTCTCCAGGGACCGCAGAGTCTACAGGGGAGGGGCGGTGATCAGAGAGATGAATGGAGAACAGGGCCAAAGCGTGAGTCTTCCTCTCGCTGAGTCCAGTAACAGTGAAATGTGCGCGTGTTGTCCGTGGCGCAGTCAAAGTGGTGGGTTTGGGGTGCAGAAGTCGCACTACCGGGAGCAGCCTGGGTGCAGTTCCCATGGGGTCTCCTGGGGGCGCCAGGGGCATCACCTCTGCCAGAGTCCTCTCTGTCTCCTCCTCCTGCCGCTTGCGTTTCTCTTGCCACATCTTTGAGGACTCCGGAGGTCCTCGTTCTCCCCACTCCCTTCTCCTTCTCCCAAAGACCCTGTTTCTCAACACGGGGCGTTTTGCTTCTGCAGAGGTCTGGGGGGGACTCGTCACGCAGGGGTTTTGGAAGGACATGGCTTGCGTATCTGTGTGACGACCCACGACCAAGGTCTCTCTGATTGCCTCTTGCACAGTGAGGAAGCAATCGGATTGCCTCTTGCATTGATTCCGCCCTGCCAGGGAAGGGAGGAGACGTGGGGGAAGCTGAGGCCTGGAAAACCGCTGGGCCCTGAACCTGCCGTCCAGTGTGGCCCTCTAGGGACACTGTCTCGGGTCAGCCTCGCTCGGTCCGTCTGGACAAAACGCTCCAGATGCCGCTCGTCAGCCAGGCTGCTTCAGAGTTTTGTAGATCTGCTTTCTTTCCCTTTTTTTTTTCCTTTTAACCTCTTGTTTTTCCTTCCTGTTCTCTTAGTGTACTACATGGGTTGTTTTCAACCTTCCAGCGTGGGCGTTAGAGAACTACCTGAACATGGCCACAGTGCTTTTGTGGTGGAGGGTACTTTTCTTCTTTTTAATTTTATGGCTGCATCCCAGTTTCCACGCAGTGGTCCCTGTGTTGGTGTTAGTGTCAGGGGTGCGCGAACGGAGGGGTCGGCCACGTGCTTACTGCTCAGCCGCACGCAGCAGCTCGGAGGTGACGATCCCCCCCCCCGCGGTGGCCGGAGGCTGCAGCAACGAGCTCTGCTTTTCCTTTTCTTCCTTTTCTTTTTTTTGCTTTGTTTAAATTTTGGAAGGAGCACCCGTGTCCCGACTTCTCGCTCTTTAACTATGTCTGTGAAGTTGACACCTGGCGGAAGTCTAGGCTTCCCATCCGTCACCTGCTCAGGAGGAATTCAGAGGAGGCGAGTTCCCAGTGTGTGTGTGCGCTCTCTCGAGCCGCTCTGCGATTCTGTAAAATAGCAGACACGAGGACCGATGAGGAATTCCGGACAAACACACACAGAGCATCCCCCACCCCAGGGAGATCTCTGAAAAGAATCCCTGATACTCGTGCATCTCACATCCATGCCTGCCTCCTTTGATTCATTTCCTTCTCGAGAGTTGCAGGGTGATCAGTCCCGTTTTCCACGGCTTTGTAGTGGAAATGAGCAGAATACTTTGTGTCTTTAGTGCGTGTGCTATTCCAATGGAACGGGCTTCTTACACAAGGCCGAGGACTCGGCTGGCTGATGAGCCAGCCCATGCGGGCGGGCGTGGCCACAGATGTTCGTGAATTTGTATGACGTCTACTCTGATGTATTACAAGTACGACTTCCAGTTGTTTTCCCTACGGTCTCCCTCAAAGAAAACACGGAGCATTTTTTTCAGTCTTTCAGCTGTGCATTTGCGTCTCATCTAATGTGAAGACACGAGTGGTTATTTGAAGGTTTGTTTTTCTGTTGTTTTCTTTGGGGGTTTTTGTTTTGTTTTTGCCAAAAGGTAAGCCCCTTCCCCCAAGGCACGGCGTGAATTTGTCGGGGCGGTTCTGCTGCTCTGCCAGTGCGGCGCCCTCCCTTGAGCGTGCTGAGGGCCATCCTTTCTCTCTAAGGAGAGCCCTTCGTCATCAGCCAGCGGTGGCCTGCAGACTTCTGCACCATCGCGGATGGATGCCAGAGGGGGGTGCTGGCTGGCACCGAGAGGCCCCACGCCCCGGCAGCAGCTCCCACAGAAGCACCTGGGGTGGCTAGTGCCTTCCTCACCGGGGTGGCCACGGATCTTGGTATTGCAGTAATGGCTCAGGAAAGACTGACCACTTGGGCGTGGTGCAAGGGCCCTGGTAGCGGTTCGTGCGCTGTAAACCCACGCAGGGACGGCCAAAACCCTGCAGGCCAGACACAGGGCCAGGTGAGGCCAACCTTCCTGTGACCTTCACCTGCTCTGTGCAGCTGCCGGGGCAGAGCTCCAGCAGCCTCCGCTATAACCGCACCTCTTCATTCAGCTTGACCCTGTGCACTTGACCCTGTGTATCCTGCTGAGGATTTGTATTTGACGACAGAGTTTCCACGCACAGGATTTCATTCTCACCCTGGAGCTTTTGTCCATGGAAATTTCAGAAGGCAATTTTAAGTCTCTGAGGGGCTCCCAAGAAGGAAGGCCCTCAAGCCCCTGTCACCCAGGCGGCTGTGGGCTAGTGTCCGTACGCGGGTGACTGGTGGGTCTTCCTCTGGGAGTGGCAGCGGTGATGAGATCGCGCTGTGTGCTCACCAGAGCACCTGAGAGCAGGCAGTGAGGGCTTCTGCACCCCTCCTGCAGCTGTCCCTGCTGAGCAGGGGCAGAAAGCCCTGAGGTCACCCAGGGGAATGTCTGACCCAGAGACCCCAGGGAGAGGGTCCCGCTGCGCCCCCACATGTCCCCACAGGCAGCTGCCCCGCGTGGCACGGGCACCCGTGCTCCGCCGTGTAGGTTTGTGTCTGGCCCCGCTCGGCTGGCCCTGGGTGGGCTCCGATCAGCCACGGTTCTTCTGCATGAGCTGCGTCACTTGGCAGAGAGACATTGGACAGGTCAGGGCCCTGGAATGGGTGGACGCCCCCCCACCCCCCGTGTTCCCGGAACCCTCGGAAACCAGTGCCGAGGCTGTGCTGATGGGCACGCTCGCTGAGAAAAAGGGAATGAAATCAGGGGTCTGGGGCGACGTTCGTGCCACGCGGTTGACTGCGCGGACGGTGGTCTCCTTCCCCTCGCCTCCCACCCCCACCCCTTCTTCCGTGGTAGCCATCCCTTTGGTCTGTGTTTCTAAGAGTTGGTTGTGGTTTCTTTGTTTCTTGGCTGCCGGTTCCACACGGCCACGCAACCATTCGGTGTCTGTCTTTGTGTGACTCGCCCCACTGAGCGAGCACAGACCCCCCTCGGCCGCTGCACACTGGCACAGATGACCGGGTGTCACGCTTTCCACTCCGTGCACGATATTCTGGTACACGCACCTCAGCTGTATCCGGTCATGTACACGGGGGCACCGAGGGGGCTTCCGCGTCTTGGCTGTTGGGAATAACGCTGCAGGGGCTGCAGAGGTCTTTCCCAAACTGTGTTCTCATTGTCTTCAGACAAATACTCAGACGTGGACTCCCTGGGGCGAGTGGCCGCTCTGTGTTTAGCCTTTGAAGGAATCCCCGTCGTGTTGGGGAAGATGTTTCTTTAGGGTGGGAGTCTGCAACTGATTTCGTTTGCTCCCAAGCAAGAGGACACAAGGAAGGTGAGGTTAGGGAGCAGGATGTGCCCACAGGCAACTCCACAGTCGCCTTGTCCATGGGGACTCCCAGCCCCTGCTACTCTTGCAAACACAGAGAGGGGACCAGTTTGCAATCTGCGCTGTGTCTGAAATTAGCCGGGTGCTCGCGGCTGGTCACCTGGACCTTCCTTCCTGGGCCGTCCCTCATGGCAGGCACCCCCACTGTGTCTCATTTAGGGGCGGGATGGCCGCTGAACCTTACCGATGACTTAAATGTTAAAGCAAATGCTCGGCGGCGCTGAGCTCGTGATCGGTCATGGGAAAGTGTGACACCCACCCACGTCCCCTTTTCCAGCTTCTAGAGAGTGGTCCGAGAGAGAACACTTGTCACAGTAGTTTTCCCCTGAAGTCAGACAATAGGCAGAAGAGAACGAAAAAGACACCACTGCAGGGTGTGAAGTCCTTTCACGTGGATCACGGGACGGCAGAGCCACCTGTCAGGGAGCTTGGCTGCCCTTGGTATTTCTACCTGCCAAGTTCCCTCAGGAACAGCCACCGTGGAATTTCGCTCACGCGTCTGATTTGCGGGGAGTGACCGTGCCGTGTGTGAGAAGGAACAAAAGCTGCAGAAAATAGCTCCTTGGACACCCTGTTGTAGCTTGGAGCGTGCACTTTGAGGAAGAACATCTTGCCGTGGTGACAGAAGGTGACATGTGGGCTTTGTTTCAAACTGCATTTCAGGGAGTCCACGAGGAAGAGGGCTGAGAAGGGACATGACAACTTATTTTGGAGTTGAGGGAATTATCTCATCCACAAAGAAGGTCCGTGCTTCCGGAGGATTTAGATTCTGCTGCACAGGACAGTGACTGGCGGAGATGGCCTTGGTCAGGGAGGGTCGCAGTCCGTGAGGTCTGGGTGACAATCGGGGGGGACTCTTTGACCAGAACCACACACGCGGGGTCAGGACAGTAAGTGTTAGTGAGCAGCGGTGGCACCCCCCCCGAAAAAGATAAATCCGTCTGCCGCTGTCTTTGCGCCCAGCAAACCTAATAATTTAGCATGGACTACATACACCTGTATTTTCCCTGTGTGGGCTCATCTGTGTGCGTGTCATGGGTCAACGCAGCCCGTGGGACACTCTTCATTCTCCTGGACCACAGGTCTCTGTCCCTCACCTGGGAGTCACTCCGGAGGCCGGCCGGACAGGTATCTTCATTCCAAGGACTGCTGCTCTTGCTGCGGCTGCACAGGTACCAGAGATGCAGGTGCCTGGGCAGGGCCCCCTGTTCCCCAGGCAACGCTAAAAACTCCAGCTCAGCACAGGAGAGAAAGGAATTCCTAATG